TGCAGTCCCCTAGGGATGGACCCATACTCCAGGGTGCTGGATTAGAGAGGTCCAAGCGGTTGATGCAGCCACTTGAATGTAGCCATTTCTAGTGCCCGACAAATCCACGGGTGTCTGCTTTATAGCCCAGATCACTTTTGTGGATGCGGATCCAAATCTTGTACCCAGAACCCTGCGGAATTGCGGACGCCGGCTTTATGTCTGCGGGTATCCTCGTCCGCACATACTCCAGGGTGCTGGATTAGAGAGGTCCAAGCGGTTGATGCAGCCACTTGAATGTAGCCATTTCTAGTGCCCGACAAATCCACGGGTGTCTGCTTTATAGCCCAGATCACTTTTGTGGATGCGGATCCAAATCTTGTACCCAGAACCCTGCGGAATTGCGGACGCCGGCTTTATGTCTGCGGGTATCCTCGTCCGCATGCGGCTCGTTTTTGCAGATGTCAATGCGGGTGCCAGCTTTGCATCGGCGCAGGGTTCTAGCCTTTCCGTCCCCAGCCCTGCTCCCTGCTGCCAGCGCCAGAACCTTACCTTTCAGCGGGCTCCTGCGGATAACGTTCTCTGTCACCTGGAAGGGAAGAGGAGAGATCACTCGAGTAAACAGGAGATTGTCCTCCTGCCCCTTTGTGTCCTGTGGCCTCTTCCAGGCCCCCAGATCTGTCGCTGTTTCGAGTTGTCATCAAGCTCTGCCGGACTCTATGCCGTGCCTGGCAGGGTAAAGCACCAGGCTCGTCCAGCCAAGGAGCTCAAAGCTTGATAACTGGAGCTCCCAGTCCTCTCCTCTTGCGGTGGGTATTACAGATGGGGAAACTGAGGCTGCATCTCCGGCAGAGCCTCGTTCAGAGCATGGTTTTTCTTTGTGCCCATCCCCATAAACCACGTTCCGGGCTGGTTTGGCCACACCCTTGGCCGACACCCACTGGCAGCAGTGGGTAACCCTGGCCAGGCAGGCCAGGGGGCGTGAAAGAGGGAGCCGAATTATTTCATGGCCTCTCTGCCAAGATGGCCGACGAAGGGGCTCGCACTGGTGTCTGTGGTGTCGTTCATGAGGTCCTAGACAGAGACCTACCAACTCGTTTCATGTGGGCCACCAACAGCCACCGGGTGGTACCAGCTCTGAGCCCCTTCTGACCTGGGAACTGAGTGGAGTTAGCCACCTGGAGGGAGTGGCCAAAGACCCTCGGGCTGGAACGTTTCCTTGCCAAGTGCCTAACTCCCATTTCCCTCCCTTCCCCCACCAGCGTGGCTCCCCGTGGACTCACCATGTTCACGTAGGACTTGAGGCTGCTGGCCAGCTTGAGGCAGGACTGGTTACCCATCAGCTCCTCCAAGTCAGGGACTTCCTGCAACCTGTGGATCAGCTGCAAACACTTCAGCTCCTCTGAGCTCCCCTGCGTCTGGGCTTTTAACTGGGAAATAATCAGAGTTGACAATGAAATGAAGCAGCCGCTTGCGTGAACAAAGGGCTGCCTGCCTGGCTGCACAGTAGGGGGCAGAGGGAGCCCTGGGTTGATGTGATCTCCGGCTAGTAAACACGGACTGCTGCTCTTCTGTTTCATACCTGTCCAGAGTATTGTCTACACTAAAAGGAAGTTTGCTGCTGCTGTGATCCATCCTCCGGAGTTTGATTTAGTGAGTCTAGTTAAGACCTGCTAAATCAAACTCAGCCCCCGCTGCTGTCCAGTACTCCTTTTGCAAGGCGTAAGGGAAGCCAACAAGAGTGTTTGCTCTTGTCGGTATCTTGCCACGGGGACGCCATCAAGCTCGGCTTAAGGTAAGCCAACTCCAGCTACGTATTCTACACATTCTATGTGGCTGGAGTTGCGTACCGTAAGCTGAGCTGCCCGGTCTAGTGTAGACCTGACCTTACACAGCCCAGGGCTTAGATGCAGGAGCTGAGCATAAGCCTGCAGCTCTCTGATCACAGTGCCGGAGGGACTGAGATCCCAGGAATTAACCAACCAGTGGACAAGCCATGCAACCTGGAATCCGGAACTCTGCCACTGACTTGCTGTGCAACCTCAGACGAGTCACCTCCCCTGTCAGTGCCTCAGGTCCCCTTGCTCGCGTCAGCAAAGGCCTGAGAGAGCTACGGACGATGCGGCTTGTGCAGTAGAGGTCCTAGAACGGGCGCCCGCGCTGCTTGGGGCATTGCAATCCGCACCAGAGCAGCGTTGCTCTCTTGCGCCCGTTTATTGCTAGTCTTGGGATAGTTGATGTCAGAGAAACAAAGTGGAGCGGGGAGGGGTGCAGACAGGGCTAAGGGGGGGATGCAAGTCAGCACCCCCACTCTCAGAATTGTCTAGCGCCGCTGGTGTTGGTAGGAGGACTTACACCGCAGGGGACACCCAAGGAGCTGACGCAGGAGAAAGGGGACGCTGCTTTTGGAGCAGAGGGGTCTGTTTAACTCACTGCAGGACAAGACCTGGTCAAGAGAAAAGGACTTGGAAGAGAGAGATGCGAGGAGAAGCGGTGAGCTGCAGCTGGATCCTGGCCATCCCCGGGAACTCTGCCCTGAGCCCAGAAAATGCTCGAGTGGTGAGGAAACTGAGGCAGGGAAATGCGCGGGGAGGGGGGTTTCTTGTGCTAGTTGAAGCAGTGGCTTGTGTTCAGAAGCCCTTTCAACACCTGCCTGCTGACACTGCTGGGTGTTTCTTGGCAGCTGGCAAGCCAGGGTCCCATAAAGCTGGTGCCTACGTGTGTGCCGATGCCCCTGAGTGTCTGGGGATGGGGGGGGGGGGGGGACATTCA